CATTGTTATTGTTACTATTGTTATTATTATCATTATCATTATTATCATTATTACTACCACAAATTCCTTGCATGATCTCAAAAAAAAAACCTTTGAGAGCAAATATAAAGCAAGAACCAGTTTCAGTTGTTCATATGAAAATTAGATTCAAAACTGCGCAATATCAGAACGCTAGAAATAATGTTTTCCTTCCTCACCCGGATACAAATACTGAAAGCTTGTCAAAAACCGCCTTATGAAATCATATACAAAAGTAGTCTGAAATAAAGTTCAAATATAAATGCGTCTCAAGAAAAATGTATTTATGACTGATGGTCCATTCGCTTTCTGCCTGTAAAGCTAATCGCTTCAAAACACGAAGCAACAAGAAAAGGGAACTTGCCTAATCAACCGTTAAACCAGTGCTTTCAATATAAACAAGAAGATTTTCTAAACTTTTGATGTTTGATGTACTTGTATATCACAATCCTCTAGGTCTAAAAATTGGTATTAGCATGAATAAAAGAAAAAACCAACAAACCAATTCAGAAAAAAAAATATCTAAGTGAAATTTAGTAAATAAGAATTTGAATCATTTCAACAGCCTAACTAATTCATCTGTAAATGAAAAAATTTTTATCACGCCCACAAACTATAAAAATAACTCACTGTCACTAAAAACGGAAGTTATATTAGGTATAGTAATTACGAAAAAACCATTGCTAACTTCAGTAAAAGCACACGTAATAAAACTATAATACTTGAACGACAATTGAAATTAATAAGCCAGAAGAGCGAGGCTGTGGATTACAAAACTCTATAAAATAAATACCTGACGAGACTGACAAGAAAAGAGAACGAGAAAGAAAGAAATTAGTTCCTAAAAGTCTATTGAACAGTTGTGTACTGGCAAAAACAGGTCTCAAAGCAGACGTCTAAATCAGATATCTCGAACTGCAGTGAATAGCATGTAAAGTTTCAAGACTTTTATGAGCAAGGCTTGCGTTTCTGCCGCAGATTATGGTAAGCAGAGATATGAATGGTACTGCATATGTAGCACTAAATGAGATAAATGGCAACTCTCCTTTCAAAAGGCATAAATTCTATTAACAGGAAACATGCACCGTGTAGGGTCGACACGACTGGAAATAAAACAATCAAAGCGGCTTTAAAAAAAGGATAGTACCGCATAAGAATGATGACAAAGAGATATCCGAAACAAGCACGCCAGATTAAAAACATTTCAAGGAGAAAAACCTTCAAAATACAGGAAAGTAATGTTTCCGCAGCATGGCGCAACTGTTAAGCGATAATATATCATTATGAAGTGATTTATACAGTAAAAAAAACTGCGCTTTGTTTTACGGCGCAATAAGCTCATAATACCAAATAAATTTGGATGAGTTTCTAATACAACAAAACGGTTCAAATTTGAATGTACCTTGATTTCTGTACGAGCAGAGAGCGAATGAAAACGAAGGTACGAAGATGAAGCAAATAACGGTCGCCAAGAAAGCGGCAAAGATGGGGGATTACAGATGAACGAACATATTAAGCGCAACATTTCACTGCTAAATGGATATAAACCAAGATTTTTTCTTAATTCTTCTTCAGAAACCTGAAAAATAACAAATACTTCCTTTTCAATGAAATATAACTATATTTACAAATTTGATACCAAAACGAAACTGTCTAAATCTCTCTCCTAGCATAAAGCAAAACTGTTTTTTGAAGTTAGTCTACCCTCCTTTTCAAAAGCTTTCAAGAAATAAATATGAGCTTTATACAAGTCACCTAACATTGATTTGAATAAAACCTATAAAAAGATTGACAGAAGATAAAGAAATCGCATAAAAATCCTTCCCAGTCATTAAAAAACCTTTACCTTTTCTCTAGAAACATTTTCGCAGAGCTGAAAAATTGATTGGATGACCGAACCGATTTGAGTAACAGAGCAGTCATATCGAGCTAAAAAACTCGTCCAGTGAGAAAAACAAAATTTTTTCCCAAAACTTAATAAATCAACCAGTTATTAATTTAGGTATTTATGCATACTAACGCTCACCAAAAAGAAAACACCATTTAACACATAACTATCAACAATGTAAAGAAACTGGAACTAAAGCCCCACAAAAAAAAAGAAGCCAAAAAAAAGAAGCCGACAAAGAAATTTTATAAAATTAGTTTTTTCACAAAACACTTCTCAAGCAGACAAATTTCAATAGTTGAAACTTTCTACCTGCTAGGGAACTGACGGAACTTGTTAAATCGGATCCATTTGACCAAGCGCTTGCATTACGTGCGCAAGCGCTGAACACTGAAATTTAGAACTTTCTAGAGTACATTATCACAACGAATTGAACCCACAGATCACAAAAGCAGGACTTACAAGATTAGTAACTTCGCAGATCTGTAACGAAATGAACAGCAGAAGCAACTTTTGAGTAATTCAAATAAGAATCTTCCACTCAGACAACAAGCTTCAGGCCAAAACGAATTATTTAAAACATTGAAACTGTCACCAGTAAAAAATACACTAAAGGCTTAAACATTTGAAACAAGATGCAATACAATGTAGCTTGCGTTCAAAATTTTAGGGCAACTGTTGTCATTTTGCGACTTAAAACCAGTTTTAGCACAAACCAAAGTACCCAACTATTGCAGCTTATAAATGCGATATAGAGAATAGTATAGGATATGAAGACCCAAAAACAAGTTGTTTACCAAGAAGACAAGACGTGTTTATCTGTGGCAGTAAAACAACTATTCAGCTACATGCGTTTTTCTTTATACTGATACGCCACTGAAACGTAAAAGAAAATAAATTATAATTTTACGGTCTTTTGCAGTTATACAAAAGCTGTTTTAACCCCTTATAATTACTTACTCTCATTGACTTCAAATACGAAATTGTAAACTGAGAGCGTTGTAACATACCAAAAATTTTTTGCTTGTCAAAAACCGAAGCTTCTTATTAATCTGAAACTAGTCATCTGAACTTCTTCAGTAGAAAATAAGCTCATCGATTCAACATTTACCACAGATAGCACGCAGTACTTTGAAAATTTCATTCACCAAGCTTTAATACCGTCAAAAACTAGTGACTAATTAAACCACTTTCTCACTTAAAATTTTTTTATATTAATACTGCCGTACCCGCCCCTACGAATAGCAGTCGAAGAAATTGACTATTATGATAAGGTCAAAATCAAAGTGACATCCACAACGAGCACGATACAAAATATTTTTTGTTACTTGTGTTAAAAACTTTTCACAATTTGTTGGCAACAAAGCAACACTGAATACTGTATACAGTAAAAAAAACATTGAAACGTTTCTTTCTCCGAACTGAACTCGAGTGGGAAATCTATGAGGTTTTGGGATAAAATTAAAGAAGCAAACCTTTGGCAGGATCATCAAATGAGTTCAAAAACGCCAGTTTCTCAATAGCGTCTTCAAATTGACCAGAACAATCCGAGAACCTTGAATATCTCGTTGTTTCTTGCATTTCAGCTAGTCCTGCTGTAATAAACGAACAATGAAATTAAAATAACACACTAAAAACCAGAAACAAGCATGAGAAAGCGAAAATGCGTGTACACTGCAAACAGCAGAAGGACAACCAGTTGAGATTCACGAAAATTACTTTTGTACCCCAACAGTGCCTTTAGCAGTACTGAGCAGCCTTGTGATCGCCAACTTCCTGCAGAATTTCCTACGCTTTTGCACCTTTGATGGTTCGTGAAGCGGCTAGTATCAGCCATGGGGGAAACTACAGATTGACTAGCTGACATTAATCCTCATATTTCAAATTAATTTTAGAAACCGCCGACTATCTAAACAGCACTGTCTCCGTTTAAAAAGTAAAATACTCATTTCTTGGTGTCTGCTTCAACTTCCCCTCTTCTTCCGTTCTTTTCATTAGTTAACCGTTAGCTCTTTCAGGATCCATAAGAACCGCAACTTTGAACAAAAATCGCTTGAATAGCAAAATGAAATTTCCCCAATTCTACTTCAAAACTCCGCAGACTGAAAAATAAAACACCATACACGACACTCTGATGAAGATATGTCAAAATTTTAAGTTCAGAAAAACAAAAAATAAAAATTTAAAAAATAGAAAAAAATTCAATATAGCCAGCAACACTTCAATTACAATAAAACGCCATACTGGCAAACAGCAAAATTTTCGAGTTCCTAGATTACCTAGACTTACAATAAATCGAAAAAGCAGAACAAACCTTTAAAAAAAAGCTAAGTGAGATTGGATTTCCTAAAAGAATCCACAATTCAGGATTAAAGCGTCCGAAAAGACAAAAAAAGAATTTTGCTTTCCGCCAAAAAGAAATGTTCAAAAATTATCACGATAAAACAGCAAACATCTTTTATACGTTTAAGAGAACGACTTCCAAACACACGAAGTAAACCAGTAACGAAATAAAAATCTTGCACTGTAATAGAGCAATTCAAAAGTAAATCAAAAACCAGCTTTTTCATTGCTTTCAAAAATAAGAATCTACGACTATAAGATTTAAAGCACTTAAAACACAAGTGTAAGCAATTTATCAAAGGTTTTTGGCAATATCTCCATGTCACGATAAGTGTTAAAAAATGTGAATTTTATATAATATTAATTCAACATTTCCCTATATATTCTTCCCTCTTCAACCTAAGAAAAACTTATTAGTTCCAGTTCACAAAAAAACGTGATTGAATAGTCAGTGAGTCAGGTGCTGAAAACTTCATGAAAAGTCATGCTAAAAAATTCAAAAAAAAGCCATAAGACATTTTAAATGACTTTTGCGAAATCTGCACAAAATACAGAAGCTATCAGTTTTCCTATTCAACACTAATCCATTACCCAAGTACTGACCAACAATATCCAAAGTGCTGTAACTCCCTTTTAACTACATCAGTCTCAAACAGTTAACCCACAACAATTATCGAGTGATCCAATTTGACCGTTAGAAACCACGGTGCCGCGAAAAACACTCACATGAATTTCAAAATCCAAGCTTAAACTAATAATCTTACTTCCTGGTAAAGTAATAATTTGAAAGACATCACAGTAGATAATTTCAAAATTATTTTCGTTCTCACACAAAAAGAAATTTAAAAAAAACGTTACGGTATGCATAAAGCCGGCTGTTACAGAAGATTAATAAGGATATAATACTATGAACCAAGTGGCATACCCTCGCAACTGCATACTGGCAACAAGGTAACCTGAACTCTCCAAATTTCTCACAAAATAGGCTGATGCCTCTAAAAATGATTTACACTCAAAAAGCCCGTTCAATACTAAGTATATATTTTCCATTTTTCAAAGCTTATCTTACTTCTACGATTTAACAATGTATTGCAGAAAGTAGCTTGAAGCCTCAAAGCATACAGAGACACCCTTCGGTCCGGTGTCTAGGAAAAAAATGCTCAGAGGTGACGCCTTAAACCCAAGATGAATCGTTGTTAAATAACTTCTGCTAAAAATTCTTTAAATTTTACTTTTTTATGCTTACTTAACCGAAAGTCAATAAACTACATTTTCTTAAATTACTCATAACTTTCATAGTAATTGAAATCCGACTTATAGCATAGTCGTATTTTATAGTCAGTTTCTTCCACTACGTTAAGGTTATCACAAAAGTTTCTCCGTAGTATGTCAACTAAGAAGCGCAAATGAAAAATTATCTACTTTTTTAAATTAACAGAATACCAAGCTGGAATTCAAATAATAAAATTAAGTTAAAAGCTCAAGTTGCTTTTAAAAGCCACAACAGAAAGTTTATCGTCACAAAAACTAAAACCTTTCATAAACATGCAACTTGTCAAGCGACTTGCCCTGATAAAACAGAATATGTACTAGAATTTTTTTAAAATTTTTTTCACAAACACATCTCTAGCAAGAAGTTCCACTCTACAGTCCTCTATTCTAGCCAACCTAATTAGTTTTTCTAGTTGTCATTTAACTACTACCCTGATTAGTGTTCTAGCCAAGCACACATGCAAATTTATACCTCCTCTGTCACAGATTCTAGTGTTAGACTCACCTTAACACCCTCTGTTTTGTCAGAAAATGTTAAGTGACAAAGATGCTCTTTAGAAACTGCTCTACACATAATGACTTTCGTGTTTATCACAACATTCGATTAGATTACGACTTTTTCTACCAAAATCTCAAACAGACTTGTTTGAAACCTAAGCGCAGTTTATGTTAAGACATCGATTACTTGAAAAGCTGCCTTTTTTTTGCTTCAGCCAGCATCAGCTTTTCATTAGTCACTGCATTAATTGTCCTTTCGCTGCGTAACAGTAAAGCGTTTTACTCGTTTAAAGACCACTTTTCCAATGTGTTAATAGATAACCCCCAGCAATAACAAGAAACCTCTTAGTTATAAGATAAAAATCAAATGCTTCTTCCTATATTCAAGTGCAAGATCATTTATTATATCAAAGCACCAATCCTGCTAATCCATGTATCAAAAAAAAGTAACCAAAGTTTTTGAGCGTTTTGGACAAATGTACCGCCAGGAAAGAGTTTGTTTCCTATAGTCCAATCTTAAAAAAAAAATAATAATAATGATTTATGCTCAGACGTTTCCGCTTGTGTCCAGGAGTCTTTATACGTTTCCTTATCTTTATCATCCAGTAAAGAGTAGACTATTCGAGGCAGTAAATTTGGTAAAACCCTCAATGACTCCCAGCTCTTTCATATTGCTCAGGAAATGCAAACTGCCGTGATTGGAAAAGACAATGCACAAACGAATAGGCAAATCTTATCAAAACCATCATTTACCTTTTATTTTTTTCCATGGACAAGATATAAGATCAAATAATATAGAGTACCAAAGCAATAAACAATCAAATTAAATCTTTTTGACCAATTATTCACAACAAAGTGATTGCTTAGCGCAAATGGATATTAACAGTACCACTTAATTAAAAGAAAAATTAGTTCCTGTGGCTACCATTTTAAATTCGACTTGATAAATACTGTTTCTACGGGAGAACGAGAGCAAAAGAATGAAAAATACTACAGTGTTGAACAGGCGAAAAAGTGAGGACATTGAACTGGAGTAAGGTGGTAAAAATTATTCCATTTAATAATGATCAACTCTGTTGCTAATCAGCTTTTATTGGAATAATTCAAGACAATAAAGACAAAGAAAAAAAAAATCTCTTGGAATTAAAATAAAGAACAGAAAATGAAATGAACTGCATTCGTGCTGGACGCTGAACGACTTAGAGGGCGCAGCAGACCAAAAAATATATATGGAATAATTTTGAAGTGGCCACTTATGAATTTGGCAAATGCAGCTCCGCTGGTGGCGAGGAAAGATGTTGCAGTTGCGGATAAATCCTTGATTATTATTCGGCCCCCTTAGTTTTCAAGCATCCAAAACTCCTCGACAAAAACTGCTTGTACAAAGCCTGAAAAGTTCGCTTCTGCATTAAATCGGAATTTTTTTCTCTGGCAAAGTGCCGAAATATTGTTAATTGGTTTTATTTCTCCATCAGCTGCTTCCAATGTGATTCAAAAATCTTCAGCCTAGTACCTGAGAATACCTTATGAAACGTTAAAGTCGTTGGTCAATTTTTGCGCAAGGTAGGATGTAGTTTATCCGGTCGGATAGTGCCAGACTCTTTTACAACGACGCCATCAAAGTGGTTCTGATCTACAGAATTGTATTTCCTGAAAAAATCTTGGTTGTTTTATTTCTTTTGGTATGTTTTTTATTTTAAGTTAATATTAATTTGAAGTTAAATTTCTCAACGGTCTTCGTGTACTGTATTTTTTGCTAGCATTTTTGGCTTTAGCGTAGCTTTGAGGTGTGTAAAATGTATAATTTAGTTTTGGTTTTCGTATCCAACTTAAAAAGTGCTTTTGTTAGAAACATTTTTCCACTTCCTTCTCATACGGGTCTCCGAACTTACTTCACTGCATATGAAATAAATGATTTTTGTGCAAGGCAGAGTGTAGTTTACTTTCAGAAATATCTGTTTGTTCCTTTCTTGCTTTTTAAGGGTCTAGTTCTAATGTGCTCTTTACCTTTCTCTACAGTTTTAGGTAACAGCATTTTAGGTGATCTTGTGAGTTAAAAATCCTGCACATATTCCACACATGGTGAACTTTTGGCACATTTCAAGTCAGAATTTATTTTGTCTTCTTTCACCTATTTTACTGTTTTCAATGGCGCTTAGCAGGCTTTATAATGCATTTGGACAAATGAAGATGCGGTCCAACCAAGATTTCTCTAAAGTATTTTCATATTTCCACAGTCGCTAATTTTTTTCCTTCAGGAGAATCTTCACGTCAAACATTTAGAATGTCTAGAAGTGCACTACAGAAGAACTACTGCGTTTTGACATGAGTACAGAGGAAGAGCATAAGTAATAAGAAAGATAATTTTTTAAGTTTCCTAGTAGTGCCTGAATAGAAAAAGAATTCTTGGCAATTTTCCAACTGCTCACTGCAGTGGACGGGAAAGTTTTTCTTATACAACTTAAAGGCTACTTATACTCAAATGATTTTGAGACGATTAGAAGAAGGTTCAATGAATTGCTGAATTTGGTTGCAGGAGTTGTCTTAGCTATAAAACGATTGCACTTTCATTACGTTATTCACTGCTAGAAGAGTCTTCCTACGGAACTGTGCAAATAAGAAATGCATATATTTAAGTAACTGACTTCACAAAGTGAGGGAGAAGTTGGTTGGTTTATATAAAATATTGGATGTGTGCTAGTTTGGGGTCGAGGATCTCACATAAAAGGATGAGGAGATCTGGAGAACAAAAGCAGCTTTTGTAATATACATACGAAAATAAAATCGTGTCATTGTATGACTGAGTTAATTACGACTGTAATTTTACAGTATACGATGAAGAACCTTTTCATTCTTACTAAGACCTAAAACTTAGTTCTTTTTACAGTTCTCTTATTATGAAGACTGACTAATAAGATTTGTCTAGATAGGGAAAAGACCGGTAGTGAATGTGATGATATCACCTTCCGCGCATAGGACGTTCGCAGTCACCTCAGTATCAAATAAATTAACATGAATTCCTTATCATCTCCTTTACTGGAAGTGATAACTGTCGTTTTCCATGACATACCATATTTTATTCTTTCTGCAGTATGGACAACTGTATATACCTGTTTTTACGTTTTAACTTCTCCTTTCCGTTTGCTGTTTTATCTGCTTTGGAACTACCCCTTTATTTTTCTCGTTTTCCCTGTCACTTTCTTCATATTCGTGCTTTTGATTGTTGCATTCTTAAAGCGAAGAACAGTTTATTCAGTTTTACGAAGTTTATGGCAGGCTGTGTCTCCGTATACGTGGACCCTTGCATATTCAGCACTTGTCTATTTATTCCCACCTATTGGAGCCGCTGTAGCTGGTATAAAGCTAGCATTGACACCAGTTTTAGGATTGTTCAATTTTATTTCGGCTCTGTGCCGCCAATTAGGTCTGCTACAGAATTCATCAAAGGGACTGCGTCAAAAGAAGCAGAGCGGCATGCTGTGTGACTTGTCAGAGTTTGATACTTATCGTCTAGCAACCCGGATGCTTTGCTGTGTTTGCCTGAAAAAGGAGAAGTCAGTGCTGTTGGAGCCCTGTAGGCATGTCTGCTTGTGTTCGGAATGTGCGATCGATCTAAACAAGAAAGAAATACCCCGTTGTCCGATGTGTCATTTCATTGTCAAGTATCAACACGAAGTATTCATTTGAATGATATTTTTCGAACTTTTATTTCTTGGATCAGTCAGCCAAGTTAATTCTGAGACATTTTCAACTCATCAGGTCGAGTAAATTTTTGTTTTTATAACTTTTTTTCATCTTTTGCTCGATATTTTTCTGTTGTTTCTTAAAGATGTAGCAAGTTTTATTCTCAGTTTGAGATGAAAGAGGAAAATACTTTTAAATCAAGATTTGAAGTTCTTGGAGGTAATTCTTTGATTTAAACATTTGGTTGAATTCTAAGCACGTTTACTTATATTTTTACACTTTATTGTCAGCTCTTTTGTCACTGTATTTGAATCACAACTATGCACTTGTAATAACCAGTTGAACAGCTCATCATTGTTGCCTCTTTTTGTTCATTTGGTTTTTTGCATTGCTTTTTATGCAGCAGTTTTAACTTTTTAATTGTAATATAAAAAATTTTCTGTTTTAAGTAAATTAGTGATTTTTCTCGGCTTCATTTCAATGTCATTACGTTTAAGCATTTTAAATGCATTCCTCTGGTTATCTTAGCCGGCTGTATGTTCAACGAAAAAAGGGAAGAGCAGAGGGTCGGCAGTTAAGTTTGGTATTTTGACGGAATTTGATAAGCTCTTCTTTGGGTGATAAGTCTAAGCATTTTTTTTTTTTTTTTTTTGAGAGGACCAAGTCGTTTTTGTCGAGTCATTATTTCGTTTTTTAAATGGCAAGATTTTCAAACGTTATCTACTTTTTTTGAGGTTTACTACTCTGGCACCTTTAGTGTCAAAATTAAGGGCTTTTTTCAACTGCGACGTAATGAATTGCTAACGTTTCCGTTTAAATATATATTTTTTGGAGAAGGTTTTCAGTAACTGAAAAATACTAAATTTTAGTTCTCCTTGGGTTTTAGGGACACTTATTGCAGTTGTAAAACACCTCGGCAGTATAAAGTGAACGCACCTGCTATAATAACTATGGGCTGGTTCAGTCTCATTTTGCGCTTCAAGAATTAACTTTTGACTACGTCGGAGGATGCATGAAATTTTGCACATTACCTTTTCCCAGAAATTCAAGAGGTTTTCATCTAATCTTTTGAGTATTTGTTTTTTTTTTTGTTTGCTAACCTTTATAACAGAATTAAAAGGTGCAGTACTTGTTCAAAGGGAGAAGTATAGGAAAAATAAAGATGGAAGAAAAATTTTTAGGGCTTGCTGAAGTCGGGTAGGGCAGTGAGGCAGGAAAGATAAGCGTACCAAAAGGAAAGCTGAAAATTTTTGCGATTTCAAAGCCTCTAACATGGGAGGATTCATTTTTTTTTTTTTTTTTCAGGTTCTCTCCTGCTTTTTTTTTTCAGATATATGCCCAAGTGAGCAATGTTAAAATATTTAACCTAGGCAAAATTTTTTTTATTTTACTGAGTGTTTGCATAATTATAATTTTTTTGTTACACTTCATAAATGTTTACTTGTTCACTGTCTGTAAAACTTAATGTTTGAATTTGGGCATTTAAAAATGTTTGGATAAATTTTATTCCTTGGTTTTTCAAATCTCAGATGGAGCTTGTATAGATATGATGATCGTGATTTCATTATAATAGTATCTGTCAATAATTTGTAAATAAAAAAATTGTTACTTGATGTGACTTAAACAATGATTTTTACGCAGGAGGAATATTTAGAATTTTTGAAAATTGTTAAAGTTTACTGTATTGTATGGAATCTTTGATATTGAACTAGTGATGTTGAAGGCCGATTTGGTATGGTCAAACCTAAGGATGCTATCACGCGTTCTAGCAAGGACTCTGCAAGTCTTAAAAGAAAAAAAAATTATTTATCCAAAAAAACTGAGGTGGTTAAGATGAAATGAAAAGGAATAATTGAGAAAAGGGATATGGAGGGAAAAGGATTTGATCCTTGCCGCAACACACGTAGGTCAACTACCAAGAATATCAAGGGCAAAAAATAAACATAATCTTTCCAAGCTTGAAGAGTAGAAATAACAATAAAAATATTCAGAACTACGTTACCCTTCAGCGAGATTTACTTTTTTGGATAGACAGCCGGAAAAGGAATCTCTTTTAGATTATTTCGGTTTATATGTTCTTGAAAAAATCCTTCAGTAAAAAGTATGAATACTGTTACAACGAATACAAATCCCTCGGTGATTTATCATTTTCCGGTATAAGGTGCTGGGTAAAATATGACTTTTTGGATTTGCAGTCATGTGACATTGGTGACGCGTATTTTTTGTTTAACTAAATATACTTAAATTTTTTAATAACATCAATTTGTAGATGTTAAATGAAGTCTTCTAAAAAACTAAAAATAACAATTAATTACAGTTATACCACTTTTGGGGGAAAAGGAGGAAAAGAAACGTGACGTCAAGTAAGTTAATTTTGCGACCAACAGAGGTTTTACGAATAATCTTCTACAAGAGCAAAATAATTATATATTGGAAGAGGAAAGAGCAGCTTAGGTCAGTTTTCAGAATATTTTACTTCCACAGTTTTTTCTTAAAGGACTTGTTGCAATCTCTATCTGAAGTAAGTGCTTTCTTGCAGTCCATTACTAATGATTTTCAGGTTTCGATGTTTGAAACTGGTTGAATCTTTCAAATTTGTAAAAGACAAGCTTGGCAGGAATAATACTAGAAAATAATTAAATCGAAAAATAAAGATTATAGAAATCTTGGTGTGCGTGCTCGATAATGCAGCTTCCTAAGCTGACTTTGTAAAAGATAAGCCGGGGCAGTGACATTAATACAAATGATCCGCTTGTGAGCCTTCATTTTTCATATCACTTGGATGTTGTGCAGTATGTAATGGTTGCAGCGATGTTTGGAAACGAGCATAAGAGCAAAGTGGACATGCAAATCGATCATAGTTGCATTGAAGAAAATTATGTACGAAGAAAGTGGAGTGGCTAAAATTCATGCAGTATTTATGAAGTTTCAGGAAAAAAAAGAAAAAAACCAATCAGAAATACCCAGGAGGTAATAAAGTGTTTCTAGCGTTCACTGAAGTAGAACACTTGTCTGATAAACTTTTGAAACTAAAAATGCTTCTGTCAGCCAACGAGATTTTAAGATTGGGATGGTAACATTTCCCGCAGTGTTCCAACATTTCTCTGTTACTCTAAGAAGGGAACTTACGACCGTAATAGCGTACAGCTAAAAAAGCAGTATTATTTATCGTGGTTCTTTGAAATCTTCTGGTATCGCCCGAATTATTCAGGCCTACCTTTGGTCTGGGTAAGTCAGAAAAGTCTTTGTGAAGCGCAATTCTAAACCAGCTTAGCTGACTTGCCAGAGAAAGAAAAGAAGCTGGAGAAGTGTGTAGTAAGATTTTTAGGGTTTTAGTACGTTGTTTTAGAGAAATAGTTTATAATAGTGCGGCGGTGTTTGACACTACTTTGGTTTGAAGAGCAGTGGTTGGTCGTTAATTGGACGAAATGAGGAATATCCTGAAGTGTAAAAAGAGAAATTGTTCCTTCATCGTGGAGGTAAATTGTAGTAATGATTATCACTGCAGATTTAAGTTTTTGAATAATCAATTTATCACTAGCCGCTGAGAGCGAAATTCTTCCCAATTATTTTTGAGTTTGTTTACTCTTTTGAACTTTCGTTGCTGTTCTCCCTGTTGTTGCAAATTCTTCAGCGGCGCTTGCTGACTGTACCTACTTTATTTTTGCTCATAAAATGTTCAGGAAATGTTGTGGAATAAATGGTGGTAGCTAACTTAAGGGAGGAAGTTATTCAAGGTTCAAGTATTGGCCTTTTCAACAAATGGTTAACTGTATTAAAAAACAAACTAGATGCCTATTTGCTAACTCTATTTCATTATTAAATGACAACGTAAGAGAGTAATAGTTATTTAGAAACACAGATCCGCGTTGTAGAAACTGAAAACAGCACTTTTAATAAATAATAATCATTTAAGGTGAAGATAGAGAGTCAGAATTGAAGTCAGATATTTTGGCGGATACGTAACAGTCGTGATTTACTGCTGACCCAAACTGAAAATTTTGTGGAAGGCTATAGGTGAATTCGGCTGTCATTAAAAAAAATCAAAAGGTTTTCAGTAGAAGAGTGAAATCTGGTTCTCACTCCTCGTTGTTTCAAACTGTACAGACTATTAAAATACAGCTTATTTGTAAAATGTAGCATGGTCGTATATCTTCTGTGATGCTCTTTCGTGTACCAAACGTATTATGGGCTAGACGATGAAACTGGAAAACATGGAAGTGTATCAGTATTGAATACTATTTTTGTCTCATAAAGTCAGCTTAGGATTATAAAAACTATTAATTCTACTTTTGGGGGTGCCTTAAATTAGTGCCATAACAGTAAACCAAGTCTACCAATTGTGTAGTTCGTCAAGTAATAAAAAACTCCTAATTTTAGGTTCACTGTTAAATACTTAAACTGTTTGGTGACTCTCATGTGATATTCATCTTGTCTTTAAACATTTTTTCTTTTTCTTCATGAAATTATGTGAAATGCTAACTGCTGTTGTACCACCTGACTGTTAACATTACTTCTGAAGTTTTTTTCCCTTGCAAACATCCACAGTGGGATTAGTAATGCACAGAATGCATCAAGTTATAACTTGCGTCAGTAATAAATGAAGAATATTCTAAAGATAAGCAATTTTGATGGAAACACTTCAGTCTGTTTTTACAAGTTTTACTTCAAAAGTTAAGGAATTGTTCAAAAACTCAGACGTAGTTGATTTTATTAAAAATACCTAGAAGTTGCTTCTAACTGCTAAAAAACTACAACTTTTGTTGAGCAAAACTGGTTGAAAAATGAACAAAATTTATGCGTGTCTGTAAATATTTCAAATGCATAACAAGGCATACCTATGTTACCATCATTTACGCCGGGTATGGATGGCGGTGTGCAGAACAAAAGTTATATCTTCAGCGCTCAGAGAAATTGACAAAGGCTTTGAGCTCGTCTTCAACTGGGGGGATGCTTTAAAACCTGCATAGGACCACTTTTTTACTAGTTTAGCTCTTTGAAGTGAACTATCAAATATTTTGTACGTAGGAAAAGAAGAGTGATTAATTGCGAAGGCTTAGGAAGACGGCAAAAGGCTATAGTAGCTGTAGAAAATTGAAGGACGTAAACTGCCATATCCGGAGGATTTGAAATGAAGTAGGGAAGGAAGGATTTCGTAAGAATTTTACATTGTCGATTCAAAAGGAGCAAAGAAGGGAAGACGGAGACAACCATTTAAGCCGGATACCTTATTCAGTCCTCTACTCTTAACCTAAGTGCGCTAAGAAAATGAGATTTTAAACGGACTTTCCTATAAATAACTATCAGATGTTGCGATATATAGGTTTGATATAGAACCAAAACCGGAACCGTCGAGGTGGACTTCACTCGGTACCCACCAAGGTCAGTGGTCATTTCATGCTTAGGGCAATCATAGCCGTAACGAACTTCTAAGCTATAGAACGGCACCGAGGAAGCAAAAAATCTGCTCGAGCAAAAAAGCCGTAAGAAAACAGACCTGAAAAAGAATTGGTTCCTTGAATAACGTTGTTGAGAAAAAGAAAGGTAGAGAATGATTTGCAAAGGTTTTATATTGAAGCACGGACATTTTCTGAGTGGGAAGCGAATTGAATAATTTTGACCCATAACGTTCATACCCAAACCGTTACTTCTCAGTCGGAACTCGGGCTTGACAGGACGACTTTCTGCCCTTTTTATCAGGAAATACTACAGGTTTGCAACCAGCAGCAAAGAAATTTTGAGAGAGAAGCTGTGACAACTAAAAAAAAACTAAAGACTACAGCGCATAAACAATTCAGCTTTCAGCACTTTTACAAGGATCTTAAATAGTTATGTATTTTAAGATTCAAATTTAAAATGAGTAGGGGATATCCTTATTTGAAGTCTTCTTACTCCTCTGCATGAAGAGGTGCGTTTATTTAGCAATTTTCTTCCAATTCTTCATACAACACACATTTCATATGCTTTTTTAAAATAATCACTCTCAAATCGCCAGTTTTGCAAATTGTTTTGTTTTGCTTCTTCCTAATCTGTCTTATACTGCATTTTCATGCCTTCATTTCGTTGTGATTTTGAACTTAATGTACTTAATTTGTGAACGGAACTGATGGGGAAGGAATGAATGAAAAATGGAGCGTAATGCCTGAGCTGTTCCAACGTTACATTCAATAAAAACAAATGGGGCCTTTTGATAATATTAGGACCCCTTTACTAAGCAGTGCTGTTGTGTAAATATAAAAGACGGTTCTCAAACAAGTAGTCAGTGATGGTCGTTTTCTCATTTTTTGTATTTGCTGCTCTCCTGCCAGCTTCGAACGCGGACCTCATAACAGATCTTCCGGGTGCTACGACTATACCATTCAAACAGTATGCAGGATACTTGGACGTTTCTGCCACTCGTCACATCCACTATTGGTCTGTAGTTTACCAAATCATTTTTCTATCGCTACACTTCAATTTTTAAAAGTTATTCTCTTCAATTTCTTAATCGATTTTTACTCTACATTTTTAATGAAAAGTCTAAAGTGAAGTAACTCCAGATTTGGTGAGTATTAGTATTTGTTCCTTTACAGTTTTTTGAATACTTTCAACCAAATTATAAAATTTCGAGTTACGAATATGCAATGATTATTTCTAAATTAAAAACCTTCAGAATTTTTAAAATGATTTTAAAAGTAATGTGTATGGAATTTTGTCCCGTTTTTTAACTATGAGAAAGGTTTTTTGACGGCTGAAAAGGAGTTTTGATGGGTAAGACCGTTTGATAGGTTCTCTTGAAGCTCGGGTTATTGCTCCTCAAAACTTAATTTCCTCCTCCGTTTAGTAGACTCACAAGTTCTATGCGAGAAGAACTTCTGATCAGTATTGTGCATGCTATTCGGGACGTAGTGGTCTCACAGAACTTCATTTCCAAACCTCAAATTTAGGTGATCAAACCAGGAACAGTTATATTGCAAATTAACATACAAAACGAGCAAAGCATATATACATATATGGTTCTATAAAGAAAATAAAGGAAAATTAAAATCGCTAGCGAAACGGTAGCGCGAAGAAGGCAAGACTGACCCGGTTTCATTTTTGGGCTTCTTTGTATATTGCGACAGAAGACCTCCAGCTATAGAGATTAAGATGATATCCCGCTATCTGACTCTGAATCAGTCAACTATTTGACAGCTTATGTAGCAATCAGCAGAAAAAATAATGACTAGTTGCGTGTACCGATTCTTCCATATTCACAGTAGTAAATATTCCGCAGGTTGAAGGTTAGGTCTCTAGCAGAAATTATTTTCAGTAGCCAGCATTTAGCCCACTGTGATGACTGGTAATCCCAGGTAGGCCTAATTCTAGTGACTCTTATAGTGATGTTTGTAAGCGATTACATCAACAGCTAGGCTCAATATTTGTGTGACCTAACTGCATCTGGAATTACCCACCTAATTTTGCCTCTTTCCTCCCGTTTTAGTGGCATAGATGTTCAGAAACGGCTTGAATTTTTTAACTCCTTGGCTAAAAAACGCATTAGAATTATCGAGCCGTACAAGGCAATTGAACCAATGAATTTTATGCCAGCATTTTAATCGTCTTATTAGGGAAGCCATATTATAACCTGATGAATTTTTTTAGGCATGAAAAAACCACTTTGATCCTTCTAAACTTGTAAAAGCAAACTACTAGTTTTTGTAAGGAAATGACGAATCTTTTAAACACATAGTTTTTCCAGCTATTTCCTCCGAATGAAATTGACTAGGCACACACTTGGTAATGGAAGCATTTATTGTACGGGCGAGTAAATTCAAAAAACTGAGTTTTTCACCAGTTATGACACATCAGAATAGGAAGATCTTAGTGAACTTTTTGCGGGTAAGTGTATTTTTCTAAGGGTATGTCCAAAATATCCTGTTTTTTGATAATTCGAACAAAATTGGCAGCAAAATAGTTGCAAGTTTATTAAGGAGTTTATAGAGAGAAAAGCTGGAGATGGGATTACAGACTCTAAATTGGAACACCTCGCAGAAACTGCGGGTGCAAGTTTCATCCAACATACTGCAAGCGGAGCAGAAGCAGGAATTACTAAGAAAATACAAAATACAACACGGAATACAGACAGTCGATATTAGTGAATCATACAGTAATTATATCTCGCTGCTACTTCTCTTGCTCTTATATCTGCCTCACATCTCTCCTTTCAACAGCATCTCCGTAGTAGCCTTTCGCGAATTCTGCAGATCCTGTCGCAGCTGCTATCCTTTGCCTCCAATCGTCAGCTGGCGATCGCTTTACGCGACACACTCAGTAGCAATAGAAGGAGTAGCAGGAGCAGTACTGGTAGATGTAGAACAATCACTCAGTTTTACTATTAAAAATACGAAGAGTAATTTTTCGTTACATACATAAATGTTATAAGTCAGCAATCAATACTTCTGAAACATTTTTACTTTTACTACTGAATAAACTTTTAAATATAAAAGATACTTGTTTTTAGACAGAGTGATTAGTCCAAAAAAAAAAAACTCGACTGAAACGGGACGTTAAGAAATTCTTTCTTCTCTCAAGCTCAATTCCATACCTTTTGGCTCAAAAAAGTTCATCTTTGCCTGATCTGAAAAGTAATATTTACGTGTTTCAAAAAAATAGTTTGTAGGCTTGAAAAACTTAATGGTTTTGAATTACATTGAAGTCCTGTTATCGACATCAGATTGAAAAGCTGCAAAAAAAAATCCCTGCTTATAAGTTACTTGCTGTGACAGGTTGGTGTCAGTCGATAGCAATCGATGGCAAAGAAAAATTAAGCAAAACTTTAAACTGTTAATTATTTAAATTCGACTGTAATTTTACTCTCAATTTAGCATTCCTGTGGAACAATTATGTAACGTACTGACCAAACGGAGAGGAATTTAGGTTTGTAGAATCTCAGGCTAATCCGTCAACTGACCCACTTATTTTATGGCTTACTGGAGGACCAGGGTGTTCAGGACTTTCGTCAATGCTGAAAGAGATAGGTCCTTATGACGTTTCGGACAATGGTGTGAACGTTACAATTAATCGTTACGCTTGGAACAATAATGCAAATGTTTTGACATTGGAATCACCTGTAGGAGTTGGGTAACAGTGTTACAAAAATAGTAAACAAACGATTTAAATTTAACTTTTTTTTTGTCTACGTCGGTAAACGGCAGTTGCATTTTTTCAGATTCTCTTACACTGATGATGGGAATGTTGAAACCGATGACGACAAGGTTGCATCTGATAACTGGAGTGCACTGAAACTCTTTTTTACACAGTTCTCAGAATTTACGGTATAAATTTTTATGACAGGCGTTAAATTATTTCAGTCTACCAGCTTCAAGCACAAGTGTAAAAAATTTGCAGAGCAATGATTTCTACATCGCCGGAGAATCTTACGGTGGGGTCTATGTTCCAACGCTAGCCAGTGAAGTTTATAAAAGACAGCTAGAATTTCGAATGAACTTAAAAGTGATTTCTTCAACCTGAAAAGTTTTTACTCCCTTTTAAGTCACTGAAAAAAAAGAAATTAGGTATAAATAATTGCTGGATAGTAAGAAACAGTCAGTTGTGATTTCTTTTTTTTGAAAAATGGTTGAGACCGTTAGTTTGTCATTTTCTACCCTATCTTTAGGGACTGATAATCGGAAATGGATGTCTTAGTGAAAAGCTAAACAGAAATACACTTATAGAATACGCCTATACTCACAGTATGGTTGATGAACCGTTAGTTTTCAAAATGAAGTTCTTCAATAAAAATTCTGAAATCTAAATTCAAATTATAATGACTTTTTCTTTTCTATTATGTCTAATATTCTTACTGCATGGATTTTGCACCTACATAGTTACCTCATAAATATACCCCATTTCTGTTTTATAGCGTTTATTCTAAGAAACTGCAGCATACTTAGAGGACAAAATTACCGACTCTTTCCAGTGCTTGTCTTTGTTTGCGTTCACTAACAGAAACCATCACGCAGTTACAAAAATAATGATGCTTACTGGAAATTTTTGCAACCGACAAGGAGTGGATCTGTCAAAAGTTAAAGTGACCTGTAAATCAGACAGTGCTAGTTAACTTTTATACGTGGCTCATTCTTGTAATAACTTTGAGGAAGTATTTTACTGGTCATCTCATTTTTTTCTCTGCCGCTTTGACTAACCATTGCAGAATTCTTTCTGATAGACGCATATTACACAAATCTTTCACCAGAAAATCGAAGATTGACAACTAAAACTTTTTAAAATGAGTTCAAAAGCGACGAGTGAACGGTAGCCTTAGTTGTTCCTCACAACATTCTTGTCCTGCGCTCGTATGGCAACTAGAGAAGTTGTTCAGTTGACCACTTAGTAATATCGTTCTCTAGCGATTTCTTCTGAATTATGTTAGCAAGTTTTTCAGAGTTTGGCAACAGGTCAGAAAACAATGTTGTAATGGGACGATTGGTACTTGTGACTTTGGCGCATTCTCTGACTGGGGTTTCTGTCAACAGTTTGTACAGGAGGTTAATCAGAATATCTGGTAAAAGAATTTACGACGTACTGTTGCTTATCAAAGCGCATTTGCTGTACATTAACTTCGGAAATGTTGACTGAAAAATTTTAGGAAGTGCTTTTGTTTTAACTCGAGTTTAAACACCTGTCAATATTTAAATGGCATTAGGAAGTTTCATTTACTTTGCTGATTTATGCGTATATCTGGTTCAAAGACTTTTGTTTCTGCTTTAACAATTTCACGTTTTTCGTACCTGACTGTGACTGTGAAACAGAGAGTCGTTTTTCTATTTAAAACCTATTTATTATTGAGGTTTCTTTTAAAGAAAGTTTAAATTGAGAATTATTTAGCTCAAAATTACGGTTTTATTGAGTAAGAAGGGTGAGAAAAAGATTTAAACATACGTTTAGATCACTGTTTTAATTTTCAAACTGTAAATTTAGGTGTTTCAGCAAAGAATATAGTCTTTGTTGAACCCAAATTCAGTGCGTTTTTTCTTTGAAATATTTCTAGGTTTTCTGGAGTTGACGCATTTGACATCTATTCGAAATGTTACACTACAACAGTCTTGAAAACCAGACTTCGTTTTCCGCAAACGACAGCTAATTTTAATTTTTTTCATAGAATTAAATCAGTGAGTTCTAGTACTTTAAAGGTCAAAATTTTTTTTGTTTGCAATGAATTGGAAAAAAATACTGCAAGTCGAGAAACTTCAAAATTTAGTGACTTCTAGTGCTGTTACAGTCGTAGATTGTTTTCAGCAATCATATCAAATCTGTCGGAATGATGGAAGGGACTGGGTGTATCTGAACAGACCAGAAGTTCGAGAGGCTCTTTTTGTGCGTGATTTTGTTGGGGAATGGTATAGCTGCAGGTATTAGCAAGTTTATTCTCCGAAAATAGAGGTCTTTGCATTTGTGCAGTATAAATTATTCATTTTTAGCTGTTCTAGTACATTTTTCTGTGTTCTGTGTTTAGTGGCGATGTCAATGAGGCTTATACACAGCTTTATTATGAATTGGATGAACAAGTTAAGAATGCTGTGAATAAAGGTGCACGAGTGCTGCTATACCACGGAGATACGGATACGTTGTGTAACTTTTTGCAAGGACAAAGATTTGCTGCTAAACTGGGGTTCAAGGTATCGTATAAATAAAAGATTTTATTAATAGGCTTTTTTGATACTGTAACTTTTTTCGGTTTTTTTCTTATAAATTTTGTATTGAATTTGGCAAAACAGCTTTGATCACCTTAAATTAATAAACCTCTGTGTTTTAAATAGAATTTAGAAATGTTGCATTCTTGTCTTTCTCGCTATTTAGTTCAAAAGCAACATTGCTGATAATTTTAGAGTCCTTATTGTGCAACTAATAATCTTGACAATAAAACCTTATCAGTTGCACAATAAGTTAAGCAATTCAGTTTTCTAATCAGATCTGCCGGTCATTCAAGTCGGAATGTCATTTCAAATTTTGTTAGCAAGACAGCTATGCAGTTTGGTACTAGTTGAATTTTTGTCTAGCAAACGTCGCCTATGAGAATGTTCAGAGCGGAGGGCCAAATTGGTGGGACTTATACGCAATATGAAGGTGTTGAATTCGCAACTATTAGAGTAAGAAACCCATGCTATTTTATTAGAATTTTCTCTTCTTCAAGACGAAAGTGATTTGCTATTTAATTAGAATTTCCTCTTCTTCAAGACAAAAATAAAAGAAGAAATTTTCAAAGAAATAAAGTATTTTAGGGTGCTGGTCACTTGGCGCCAACAGATAAACCATCAGCAACATATTTTGTAATAGATGCATTTCTTAGGAAGCAGAAACTGCAGTTAATATAGAAAACAGACTCCGCAATTCCGTATTGAAATTGTTATCTTTTGTAATCCTTCTGTGTTATCTTCCTGTTTTGAATGGGTTGATGCCAAGAAAAGTTTGATTTGTATCTTTTATTTGTTTATCAATTTCGCTAGTTCAAAGTCGGCAATAATATTTTGTAGAATACAACGTAATACGCAAATTTTTTATTACGGAGCTTCTGTTGCTTAACGTCGTTTTAATAAAAAAGTTGTAGGAACAGACTGAAAAAGCGTGAAAGCAACAAGTTATTGAGGGCAGTGGATTTGTCAATCTATTTAAAACATGGAATATTGTTTCAAATAATTGGTTTTTTCTTATGGCCTTCTACAACAAAGCTTGAAACTCATCAGTCTAGTCCAAAGATATTTTCTTGAAATAGCCTCTGGAAACTGCAAAACGAAAAAGAAATAAGGTCATTAATTTTTTACAGCTAGTACATCATAATTTTTTACTACTAATTAGTCTTCTCTTTCTTGCGTTTCATATCCATTTAGGTTTTTTCCTTCAGTAATAACCACCTTCTCTTTCAATTCGCTTGCATAAAAAGAATGCCACACTCTTCTACAAGAGTGAAGTGGTGGAAATGGCTAGTTAAGCTAGTACCATTGATGACACTTTTTACAGGCTTTGTTGTAATGTGCTTCCTATACGAAGTTTTACTTGGATATATCGTTACTTTTTTGAAGGGGTTAAAATGATATTTATTCTTTTTGGTTTTTAGAACTAAAACATTCACTTATAAGGCTGTTAAACGTCATATTCTGCACTTCTAGATAATCTTTTGGCTCCTTATACTGCATACGTCAGTATTTTTTGCTATACTAAAATCGAACTGTAAAAAAAAAAAATAATTTTTTTTGGTACTTGTAAAAAGCTTGAGAACTTAGATATCGCTTTAGGAATGGTCGATTGCTTTTTAAGTCCACCGCAGCTATCGTTCTTGCAGCTTATTGTTAATTTGCGTAAAATATTGATCTAAAACACCGTAGTCACTACTAAAGGCGTTGCTAATAAAATTCATTGACAGTGAAAAAATTATTTTACCATTAAATAATAGTGAATTTGATATCTCATAATAACGGACGATTTATGGAGAAAAAACTGCTGTCCAGTAATTGTATTGACACTAGATTAGTACGCTTATTTTGGAAAACAGTTGCTAATAATATTTCTTTTAAAACTAAAAAGACTTCTTTGTCTCGAGCGTGATGCAAACAGCATATAAAACATTTATTCATTGTGTACACTTAAGGTAAGGGAAATCATTGCACCCGATCAGGTATCTACATAGTCCTTTTGTTAAACAGTAAAGCAGAAGAAGTGACCATGAGTTAAAAACTTCATAGCATTGCGCATAACATCCACCAGATCTTCGACTATTAATGCTTCTGCATTACTTTTTAATTTAGTCGACGTACTGCATATGAAATTTATCAATTGGTTTGGATGCAAAGGTTCGCAGTATCACTGGTAAAACAAATATACCATGGAATAAACCTGTACCCACCACAAGCATGGAAGTTCTTGCAAACATCCGAACAACATGCGAAGGAACCAAAACCATAACAACTATAGCCAAGAATGTAGACAAACCGCCTTGAACCACCGGCCAACCAATTGCACCAAGTGCATCGCTGATCCGTTCGTCAGGATCTTTGCATTCGCTCCGATAAATCCGGTAGCCAACATGAGTTGCAAAGTCAATGCATAGTGCTATACTCATCTAAAAAATGGAGAAGAAAACAATAAAACGACATCAGTATATATGAAGCAGAACTGAGCATGCTGACAAGCAAGCTTAAAAAAATTTTTTTTAGCTTTTGCAAATCCAAATTAACATGCCAAGATATTAACAACGGTTGTCGGATCAAGGTCTGCACCCCACAGCGACAAATACCCCGCAATGCCAATATCCATAGTTATCATTGTAAATACAACCCAAAATACGATTTGGCTGTCGCCGATAAACAATATACAAACCATTATCATAGCAATGATGGCTGTACCTAGCGAAGAAAGAGTTGTTGATTGCAGTTCAAGCATCTAAACAGCGTTTTTGTTGTTACCTTGAAATTTTAAAAGTTTTTGAAAATAATGAGGTTTGTTACCGACTGTGAATTTGTTCAAAATGCCAAGGGATCAAAGTTTGTACTATAAATCCATCCAACTCACTTGATCAGAATAAAAATTGTTTTCATCAAAAACCAAAGCTTTGAACTGAGGATACTTATTAGTTATGTTTCTCCATCGCAACAGCAGCTCAGTTCTAACATTCCAGTTCTTTATTTTGAATGCCGTCGTGAAGAAAAATCGCTTAACATACTGTTTTGATGGCTGTAAAAATGTAAGTTTCCCATAAAACAAATTTGAGATATTGAAAAGAAAATGGGGAAAAGAGTAGCTTTAGAACTTTATAGTATTCAAAATACCATACATCCTTTTCAGATGATTCCCACTTAATATACGAATTCCAGTGGGAATTGAAAGATATTTTTAAAAACTGCTGAAGCGTATCGTAAAATGTTTCGTCGCTGTTGTCGAAGAACTGTCGATAGTTTAAAAAGTCTCTCAACCAAATTTGTGTTGAGTTCCTCCCTATTGAAAACGGCGTAGATTCCAAGTCTTCGACCATTTGTAACATAACTTCTAACTGAAGTTTACAAATACGTAACTAACAGATTGAATCATATTTTCAAGGAGTAACTGCTTACGATAAAATGTCAGTGCCCCACAAGTAAATTTCCGTTTCCTTTTACACTTCTGCTAAGAAGAATTATTTTATCATGTGGTGAAGAGTCTTTAACAAATGACTGAGGTAATAGTCGAGAGAAAAAAGAGTTGGAAGAATTAAACACAGTTTTTGTCTATAAAATAAATTTAACCTTCTAATGAGTTCTGTACCAAAATAACCTGCTAATAACGTTAAAAATTTAAATTCTCAAAAATTCTTGAAAAACTTAGAAAAAGACATGAACTTTATATAGGTATTTCCGCTTGATTATTATTTTTATTTTTGCCTTTAAGATACTTCTTTTCCAGTAAACTCTTTTGATCTGCTCGGAAACGATGTTGTCGAAAAATTTCAATGAATGAAGACTATGAAACTGTATATAAGTTTTGCAAATAGTGTTATTTTGTGAATTTTTTCTCTTACTCAGCTGGCAGAATTTGTAACTGGAATTGTCAGTCCTTGTAAAAAGTTCCTCATAATGACTTTTTTCATTAGAGAAAAAAAAAAGAAATAAATGTGGTAAAGAAGAAGTTGTACAGCAGAAAAGATACTTCAATGTTTCTGTTGTAAAAATGGAATTGTCAACAAATTATGTTTTGAAAAATACGCAAACCAGGGTAAAATAATAAAAAATTAACCTGTTCAGGATGTTCAGTAAAATCCGGAGCATTATTAATGTATACACGACCAATGACACCTTCTGACCAAATCCTCTCTTCTGCTAACTTTAAATAATGAGTTAAAGGTGAGTCATCGACCAGAAGCTTACTGGGGGTTAAGTTCGGAGAAAGTAAAGAACACCCGTAAAATGCTCCAAAGATATAAAGACCATAAATAATGAGCATACATATTCGAGTTGTTTTACAGCATAAAAAAGGTGCTACATAATCAGCAAATATATGATTTGTTGGAGAAATGCAAGTTGCTTTTCGGGCCTAAACGACTGCAAATTTAAACTCTCTGACTGATTTATAGATAAGCGTGGAAAGAATTTCTCGATCAGAAAAAGATAAAACTTCTTCGACATTAATAAATCATTATCAACACTCTTCAATGAAAATTCTGAATTTCATCAGATCAACTACCTCTTCAACATCCTTCTGAGGCATTTTTTTCCATACTAAAGCACAGTGATAGCCAGCTGCTTCCCTTCTGCCACCGAGAGCCATTACACCAGAAAAAAAAGTTATCTAAAGCTTAAGTGTTCAAACCTCTCAGTTTTACCATTTTTTTAAATAAAAGCTTTGATATCCTACTTGGTACACCCAGTCAAACATGACAGCGACAGCAATAAATTTACAAAATATTGAAATAGCAGGTGTAGTACTAAATGAGCCAATACCAAACGATAGCACCGAAGTTAGTGATGTGACAGTTATAGCGCTAAACAACAAGATTTTACAATGGCACCCTCCAGAAGCTGTAATACTTGTGAAAAAACTGAAGAAAAACGATTGTTACGACAAACCTCCCAGCTTCCGCTAAAGAAAGTGCCATTCTCTTTGACGATGGTAGAGTCCTCTTCGTGTCTTGCCAAGCTCCAATAATGACGTAAGTGTCATCAACTCCAATAGCCAACGCTAAAAACGGTACCACCGTGACCTAAAAACCACCAAATATTTGTCTAACACACGTTTTTTCTAGAGAAATAAATAATTAAAATTTCAAACTCATCACTCCCCTAAGTTTATTCTGAAACTATTAAAACTACAATTAAAAAAGCGAATATTATCTGAGAATTGTATTAGGTACATGATTTGTTACCTGACTAACAAATGGTATGCCGAGAAGAAACAGAAGACCACCAGCGCTGATTATTGCAAAGGAAGATGACAAAATTCCCATAAGTGCTTCTAGTGGTTTTGATGTTATCCAATCTCCTGTCATACTTCAAAAGACAAATAATTGATTTCAAATAACTTTGGTTAGAAAAATATCATATGAGAAGGAAAACCGAGAGTGTAGCAAATAATTGTTTCAATGCGTTAACTTGATAAATGAAAGTTTAGAAGTTCAATTTTTTGTTTAATTTAATTTATTTTGTAAGTCAAGTATCGCAGTTTTTTAATCAAGTAAATAAATCGAAATCAGGAAAAAAGCTTGTAGAAAAAGGAACCAGGATGAAACTGTGAAAGTGACCAGCAGCATAACCGTAAGTGACAGAAATGGTACGGTATACATAGCATTCTTTTTCATTTCTGTTTTCAACATTGACAGACTGAACATTGAAGTTTTGATCAGACGGCTGCTATTACTGATCAAATAATTCTGTAGTGAATCAGCTAAAGCATTTCCAACTGTTTCTGCAGAATCCTATAAAATGGTTGAACTATAGTATTGACTAAAACTCGTGAACCTGCAAAAACCTTACAAACAGTTAAAAAGTGGGAGTTTTTTGATAATGGAAAGTTGCTCCAAATGAGTTTCAAAGTTTTTTTAAGAACAAACGTAGTCTGTGGACGGAATTGGATAATGCAAGTTGATCATTTCGATAGATTCAATTCCATTTTTCCTGTCCACTCGTACACCATACAAATGCAATGGTAAATAGAACTTATTGTCAAAAAAGTGCAACAGTGGATATTCCAAGCGTACCCGTGGATCATTTCGTAACTATAATACACAATATACATCATAACCATTTTTTTGTCATCTAGCGTTGGTTTTTTGGCAGAATAATTTTTTCGTCATCAACATTAAATTTGATGTTGTTTGAAAAAATTTTTTCTTTTAAAAATAATCTTAAAATATAAATACTTTACGTTGAACTATAGTAATCAGTAATCTTCTGTTAACATGTTTCGGAAAAAAAAAGTGATCAAGAACAAATTTTTTAAAAGCGTTTCTTTTTTCCTTTGACTTCGGAAGAAAAAAGAACCTGTTTATTCCAGAATGCATCAAAGAAAAATTGTACGACAGCATTACTGAGTGGGCATAAGGCAATTCGATTACAGATATCTTTACCAAAATTATACTCCAGACCATTCAGAGTTATCGTCAAATTATTGAGCACATAATTATTCAGCCTCAATATCTCATCAGCTATCTCCTAAAAACATCAAGAACACCTTAGAACAGATGACCACAATTAGAATAAGGGGGCAGTACTCCTGTTACTGGCATTTCCTCATTTACTGCTCTCTTCCCTCTAATGCAATGATTACCGCATCATCAGCTGTTCCAGTTCTCAGTTAACTGATTTGGTAAGATAAAAATTGTTATAAAAAATAAAAAGTCAAAAATAAACAATAAAACTTAAGAATATAAGTATAAATGCAAATAAGAGAAAAATTAAGAACGAAAATAGAAGGAAAAATGAAAATGTAAATGTAAATAAATATAAAAATGGAAAAAATCAAACGGAAAAAGAGAAATAAATATAATAGAACTGAACTAGATTAAATAAGGAAGAAAATAAAATAATCGAATGACTCGTAGGTAAGGGAGGAATAGCTAAATTTCTAAAAGATTTAACATAAGCAGAAAATAAAGCGATGAGGGAATTGATAACTAGGCCTTAAAATGAAGCAAAAAAGATATGTTGACTTATTTAATAGAAGATATATGTTGTAAAAAAGATAAAAAAACTTGACAAACATTAATTGTAAAATGAAAAGTAACACTGTTGTAAGAACTGTGTAGTTAATGACAATGACAGTGACCAATTCAAAAAAAGTGAAGAGAAAAGTGAAAAAACTTTAAAAATGAAGTGCCTACTAAAGCAAAATTTAATATTTTTGATAGAAGCACTTTGGTCTCCGAGAAAAAGTTTTTTTTGCTCCCAAAATAGTTATCTCATTGAGTAAAGAGCTCGGTTAAATATCTGCAGAAGAAATGACTAATAGGACTTCAAAAACCAACAGTCATCCGGAATTTTTTATCCATTTCTTCTTTTTGCATTTTTTATCAAGGAACTAGTAATGAGTACCTCACATAGTTTTTTATTTCATATATTGCAGATTAAAAGTGCCAAAGCTTTAAAGCGCCAATTTGTGTACACCAAGAATTTCACAACGATTAAAAAAGGTGCTTCTATTGAATTGTTGCAGAGTGCTCTGTAATCTCCTCATTCTTTTCATCCCAGAAAAATTTTTTTGAATTGAAAATCTACAGAAGTTAACAAATCAATATTTTGAGCTTCTGAACGACCATTTCAAATGTAGAAGATTCTTCTGCTTCCAATTTTTAAAACAAGTTTTCTGAAGAGTTACAAAAAGAGCTTTCGTAATAACAAAGTGAAAAACTGCGCAAAAAGTTCAACAAATTTTTATAAGAAAAACTAAAGCAACTACTTTACAGAGCTGAGCAGTCCCAACATTATGTTGATGTGTATTATACGAGTTGAAAAGGTCAAACTTCTTTTAACCTTTATAAGACATTGTTTAAAAACAAGGCGACAAAAAAGTGAAGACGAAGAAAACAAAAACGAAAAAGAAGGAAACCTTTCGTAAAAGGTTGTTAATATTGTCGTTTGGTTCCACCGCTACAGCAACATACGTTGTATTTACAGAATCACCCGAAAATTCTTGATGGATTGCATATTCAAAACGTGACTGAGATTCAGATGGTGAATATAAAAATCTTAAGTCATCCTAAAAAAAGTTTTCCTTACTCTATATTCGGTTAAACATCCCGAAAGAAATAAATCAATAAACTGTGAAAAACAAAAACAAAATTTTTCTCCTAGTCAAACTGATATCCTCAAATGAACATGGTTCATTCAGTCTGCTCACTGTAAAAAAACCGAAAATCGCTCTGTACCGACCTGAACATGAACAGCCAACACACCAAATGATAAAGAAAATGTTATAAGCACCGGAATCAGAATAAATGGACGTGGATTCGACGATACATAGAGTCCATACTTATAGAAGAGCGCAGCGAGAATGTCTTGTAAAACACCGAACGGGTTCACCAACCCCATTGCCACTGGGTGACCCCAATTCAATAATCTATGTCTTTTCGGCCAGCGGCAGCAGCAGTTTGAACCTACTCCCCTCACCCGGCCGAAAACAACCAAAATTTTCTTTATTCCGCTTCTTACGATCATGCAACTTATTCGATTTTTCAACATACAGAAGCTTCCAATACACATACGTCGTGTGTTGCGACGCAAACAAAGAAGGGAAACTGTAGAATAAAATTCCTTCTGAATAACCTTTAAAAACTTTCAGAGTGTAATTCAATGCCTTCGTCCTCACCACCTTTTAATATAACTAATGCACAATAAATTCCTTTCTTTTTTTTTTTTTTTTTTTTTTTTTTTTTTTT